AATCTATCTCTCTATTCTTCAGTCTCTCTCTCTCTCTCTCTCTCTCTCTCACACACACACACACATACACTATGCACACACATATTTCTTTATCCTCGAGTCGAAATTTGGTCATATCTCTCTCTATTATTCTCTCTCTTTCTTTCTCTCTCTTTATTTTTTTCTCTCTCTCTCACCCCCTCTCTCTTCCTCTCTGTATCCCTCCCTCTCTCTCTCTCTCTCTTTCTATATATATATATATATATATATATATATATATATATGATAGCGGACCATGATTTGAATACACATGTGTTCATATGTAAAAAGACCGTATGAATAAAGATTCAAGGAAAATTTCTCTACCAACGTGTTTCGTCTTCTTTTTACAGATATATTTCTTACCTCTATCTGAAATTTTGCACATTGTTGACATGAAAAGCCAATATATATATATATATATATATATATATATATATATGTGTGTGTGTGTGTGTGTATGTGTGTGCGTGTGTGTGTGAGAGAGTGTGTGTGTGTGTGCATTACTGCTGTTTAATATTTATCTTTTATTCATTCATACAAATACACACACATTTCTGAAAAAATTAATACGCGTTTTGAATTCTAAACAAGGATACACGCGCACAGAAACACACAAACGCACACACTTGTATGTGTGTATGTATATATACATGATTCATTTTGATATATTGATAGATCACAACAGATTAAGATACGAATAGATAGATAGATAGATAGATAGATAGATGGATAGATAGATAGATAGATAGATAGATATGAATAAACTGAGATAAAGCCGTCAGTATTTCAGACATGAGTGATCCGCTGTGCCTACTGCCGTCATATTGTATAATAATTGTCGACTGCTACTACATGGGAAAGAGGATTCAAGAACAAAATAAAATATTGTTACGACAACATCGCAGCAAATGAGATTTAATTTCGTTAACCTTAGCAATTGGTTCATTTTGTTTTATTGGCGTCTCGTTCTTTTCTACCAATAATACTAAAAAGCATATTCATTTTCACTAAGATGATTTTTATGGGTTTTTTTTTATTCATTTATTTATTTTCTTGATTTTTTTTTATACCTAACGAACTCACCATGTGACACAATAGAAAGAATTGCAGTTCGTGAACCACGCACGTTTTTTGCCGTTTCCCTTTGTGAATGGTATTGAATAAATTCCATTTAAACTACTATGTATGTGACAATAAAAACTCATCTGTAACGGTTTTGTTCTTCTTCTAAATGCAGTGTCCCTTCAGAATGTGGGCGAACATGGCTCTCTACAACTTCCTGACTCTTTCAGCTCTTATCAACGTTTGTCTTTTACTACCCTTCCAATTCCCTTCCCAAATATCCATTTACGAAAGCTCCTTAGGTAGCTTACTTGCTGTTTCTCTCTTTCCCTGTTATCTTTAATATGTCCTGAGAGTAACAAATTTTCTGAGCCGTCTTTCTTCATTGTATTTCTTATAAATTTCAACTGTCTCTTTCTGATTCCAAGTATAACTTGTTACGTTTTGCTAATCTTGAATATTCTCTTCCCATGCCAATTATTGGTTAAATAGTAAGGTAGACTGGATTCTCTAGCTTTGAATGTAAAACCAGTCTAAGCGAAGGAATTTGAATTCCGAAATCATAGAAAAGCCAACGAAAATCCACACTACTATATTTCCTAAGAAGTCATGGTAATTCCTAGATAACTAAAAAGGAATCTGTGGAGAGCCATGATTGCTGACTTCTTAAAGAGATATAGCACAATGCCACAACTGTTAGTATCAAACTGGCTATAGCAGTAATAGATTAAGACGTTGCTTCTAAGTCATTACCTTATATGGCAGATCACCCAGTTATTTAGTCACTTCCCATACTATGACGTAATAGTGAGGCACCCCGTGAGAATCGAACTCATTAGAGAAACAATGGTTTGCAAGATTTGCTCTGATGAAAAGTTGGGGTCCTTTTCTTAATTACTTAGTTTGGACTAAGGCTAAAATAGCTGGGCCTTCATTAAGAAACAAGCTTCTTCTATGTGCTATGTCTTCAGGACGTTTCCCTCCACAACTTCCTATTCTTTGCAGCTCTTAGAAAACTTTGCCTCCAGTTCCATGTTCTGCCATCTATTTACATAATGTCGTTGGGTAGGTTATTCACTGTTTCCATCTGTTCCCCTTGCCTTCAGTATGCCCTGCGAGTGTCATATATTCTAAGCCTTCTTTCCTTATTATAAGTCTTACAGGCTAAATATCAGTTTAAGAGGCAAGATTTAAGACGCATTTATTCGAGAGAATTTAATTACTATTTTTTTTTTCCTTATATTCGCCCTATAAAAAAAATCTAAATTTTCGATCGTTAATTCCAAATTTTCTTTATCTCAATAAAATTAAGTTTCTGTTGACTAAGCTCAGTTTTTTATTAATAATAAAACAACTGGCGTAAATGAAAATAGAACCTATTGTATTACGCCAACCTTTCAAATAAATAGGATTTGCATAAAAATCTGAACTTGACATTTTACAACTTTACGGAGGCTTGAACACTAATGTCGAATACCAAAGAAAAATGCGGAACTATTTCAGCTACAAAGAAAATAGCGAATAAACGCCTCTCTTTTGTAGGAATTATTCCTTCATTTAATGGCCTCCGAAATCGCATCGAAAGTCAATTTGATCCTGCCTTTCACTTCAATTAATATTCAATTTATATATATATGTATGTATGTATGTGTGTATGTGTGTGTGTGTGTGTGCATGTGTGTGCATGTATATGCATGTATGTATTCTTTCTGTTGTGGTTTTATATGAAACAGTATTTAGTGTTGTATCGCCGCACTCTCTTATGTAATTTTACTACGTTTATTCTCACCTTGACATTAACTGCACGCCGATAACTCAATACAAGCTTCACTTGCCCTTGGGGGTCACTAGCAGACTACCCCGAAATAAGCAGCAATGAGGCACTCCCATCTGTGGGTGAATACGGATTGTTCTACTCCTGTTCTGATATGGAATTTTTTTTATTTCTTCTTATTATTTGTTTGTACTAACATTGCGCAAAAGTCTGTGCGGCGTTCATAATGTATTTGTTGTTGTTGCTGATGTTGTTATTGTTGTTATTAATGCGGGCGTTTTTAGAAAACTATCTTGCGATGTGATATGTCTGATATTTATTGAAATTCCTATTTTAGAGACAAAAGAGAGGGGGGCTGAATATTCAGATAGATAGATAGATAGATAGATAGATAGATAGATAGATAGATAGATAGATAGATAGATAGAAATAGACTGCGATAGAGAGGAACAAAATGAAAGATAGATAGATAGATAGATAGATAGATAGATAGATAGATAGATAGATAGATAGACTAGATAGATAACAAATAGACTGCGATAGAGAGGAACAAAAATAGAAAGATAGATAGATAGAAATGAAAGATAGATAGATAGATAGATAGATAGATAGATAGATAGAAATAGACTGCGATAGAGAGGAACAAAATGAAAGATAGATAGATAGATAGATAGATAGATAGATAGATAGATAGATAGACTGCGATAGAGAGGAACAAAATGAAAGATAGATAGATAGATAGAAATAGACTGCGACAGAGAGGAACAAAATGAAAGATAGATAGATAGATAGATAGATAGATAGATAGATAGAAATAGACTGCGACAGAGGGGAACAAAATGATAGATAGATAGATAGATAGATAGATAGATAGATAGATAGATAGATAGATAGATAGAAATAGACTGCGACAGAGGGGAACAAAATGAAAGATAGATAGATAGATAGATAGATAGATAGATAGATAGATAGATAGATAGATAGATAGATAGATAGAAATAGAGAGGGAACAAAATGGAACAAAATAGATAGATAGATAGATAGATAGATAGATAGATAGATGCGATAGATAGAACAAAATGATAGATAGATAGATAGATAGATAGATAGATAGATAGATAGATAGATAGATAATAGAAATAGACTGCACAGGGGAACAAAATGAAAGATAGATAGATAGATAGATAGATAGATAGATAGATAGATAGATAGATAGATAGATAGATAGATAGAAATAGACTGCGACAGAGGGGAACAAAATGAAAGATAGATAGATAGATAGATAGATAGATAGATAGATAGATAGATAGATAGATAGATAGATAGATAGATAGAAATAGACTGCGACAGAGGGGAACAAAATGATAGATAGATAGATAGATAGATAGATAGATAGATAGATAGATAGATAGATAGATAGATAGATAAATTTACGTATTGCGCACAGACGACTGAAAACTAAAACTTAAACGATATTTTTAAATAAGTTTACGAAACTTTGAAATAAAGATAAGCCATTAATAAGTTTTTGTTTTTTTATTTGCGCAATCATTTATTTTTGTCTCTGATATTACGTGAGCTTTTCCGGAAACTCTCACCAGTTATTTTATTTTATTTTTAAGTGGGGGTATCCCCAACCTCTCTGACGTCATAGACGCTTGTGATCAACAGTAAGAAGCAAAACAAGGCGAATGGCCGAATCGCATTTGACGTCATTCACTATCGGAATAACCCCCCTGTGACGTTATTTATAGCTGAGAGCGGAACTCTGACGTTTATTACCATATATGGCCATGGAATTCCCTCGTCCGGAGAATACCTTGTTGCTTTGCATGTAGAAAGAGGGGCAGTGTAAGTTGTGGTGGTCGTGGCGCATGCGCATAGCTGCAGTTGCAGCTCGTGAAACGAAAGAGAAAAGCAGACAGTGTGAAAGAAAGAAAGAAAGAAAGAAAGAAAGAAAGAAAATACTAATGTTACTATCATCATCATCTTGTCAATTTTTAGGATGGACGGAACTTTTTGTTATTGTTGTTATAGTTGATTTTATTATATAATTTAATTGAATGATGGATTTTGTTGAGAGGCAATGTTTGAGTCACGTTGAAAGAAATGTATGTGTGGGGAGATATGTGGAATATTCCAGATGATTTTACAAGCACTAGAGTAATGTTAATTTCTGAATGAAACGAAATGCAAAGCATTATTACTCTTAATGATTCATACAAGTAGAAACAAAATGTTTTATTAACAATAAAATAAAACAAGTTAAATAAAATAAAAAATCAGTGTAGCGGCAAATGTTCATAATATTTGCGGATTATAAAGATAGTAGAAGTAATAGTTGTAGTAGTAAACTATTTTTAACAGTTTCAAATTCGTCATCTTTACACTACTAAAGAATTGAATACACGCGCCAACTAATACTAAATACTGTGACATTGTAATTATTGTTGCTTCACTCGCTGACTAGGCTGATGCTTAAGGCAGCGGGCGATTGATCGAAAGGTTTGAGCTTTTATACAACGAAGTAACAAATTCGTAAGTTTGGTAACTACGAATAAGGGAGTGAAAATTCGGTTTGTAAAAATTAAAATTGCAATTCTGTCTAGTGTTTGTGAAATACGCATAACTTAATTGGTAAAAATATTGACGAATTATCTGCCCGGCTAACAATCTATCTATCTATATATATATGTATATATAAATAAAAAGAAAGAACAGTAAGATATATAATCCGGTGTTCTTATAAATATTTTTATTTTTACAAAACAGTGCTCAATGTAAATTTACAGAGCATTAATATTATAAATATTCTATCTATCTATCTATCTATCTATCTATCTATCTATCTATCTATCTATATATATATATATATATATATATATATATATATATATATATATATCTTATCTATCTATATATATATATATATATATATATATATATATATATATATATATATATATATATATATATATATATATATATATATATATATGCTTTTTATTTATCGCAGTCTATTCATATAAATCTATCTCTATTCCTATCTATTTTTTCTGTATTATTTATCTAATTCTTTTCATAAGTGGTATCAGATATATTTACGACAATTCATATCTATTTCTTTTCATATATAACAAATTCTGTTCATATTTATCTATTTGTTTGTCTATCTATCCATATGTCTGTCTCTATTCATATCTATTTGTCTATCTAGCGAGACAGCTATGTGTTTTATATCTGTCTTTTCATATATATCTGACTCTATCCATATTTATCTGTCTATCTGTCTGTCTTTCTCAATCTATTCATATAACTATGTCTATTCATATTTATTTGTCTATCTAGCTATCTAAGTTTAATCATATCTATATATTTATTCTATTCTCAATCTATTCGTATCTTAATCTTTGTTCATCTATCAATATAGAAAGTCTATCTGTTTGTGTGTGTGTCTGTCTATCTCAGTATATTCATATAAACCTATGCATATTCACATATATCTGAATCTGTTGATATATTTCTAAGTTTGTTCATATCTATCAATATGTATATTTATATACACATATACATATATATATATATATATATAATTCTTTTCATGTATATCAAAGTCTATTCAAATATAATTATCTATCTCTCTGTCTATCTATCGCAGTTTTTCATATATATATCTAATTCTATTCATATCTATCTATCTATCTATCTATCTATCTATCTATCTATCTATCTATCTATCTATCTATCTATATATCTGTCTGTCTTTCTCAATCTATTCCTATAAATATGTCTATTCATATCTATTTGTCTATCTATCTATCTATCTATCTATCTATCTATCTATCTATCTATCTATCTATCTATCTATCACAGTCTTTTCATATATATCTAAATTTATTCATATTTATCTGTCTGTCTATCTATCTATCTGTTTATTCTATCCTCACTCTATTCGTATCTTAGTCTGTGCTCATCTATCAATAGAGAAATTCGAACCATACACAAACATATACACGCACATATGTACGTATATGTGTGTATATATGTGACTCTATGAATGTGCCTGTCTGTGTGTATGTGCATTACTCTATATGCGTGTGCATATCTGTGTGTGATTGTATGTGTGCGTACATGAAAATTTCCATTCATCCATATTTTGTTAAAAGCGATAGCATATGCGCACCTGATCTTTCACATTTGCCTATATTTTTCTCTTACTCCCACCTTATCTATCTATTTCTCTCTCTCCTCTGTCTCTCTCTCTCTCTCTCTCTCTCTCTCTCTCTCTCTCTCTATCTATCTATATATATATATATATATATAGATAGATATAGATATATACTCATTTTTCTAGTCTATTCTTTTAATCTAGCTATTCTTTCTCATGCTTTGTTTTCATAAAATTTTATCTCTAGTGCTCCGACTCTTTCATTCTTTCTTTCTTTCTCGCTAAATCCACCTCTCTTTTTCTGCTTCTCCTGTTATCTCTTTCTTTCTTTTCCCCTCCCCGCCTGTCTCTCTCTCTCTGTGTCTCTCTCTCTCTCACACACACACACACACGCGCACTTTCTCATTTTCTTCACTTTTCACTTCCTCTCAATCCATCTCTCCTCTCTCATTCCATCTATAGTGGTTTCTGTTTTTGACTTTCTTTTCTTTCTTCACTTTTATGATCTGTCTTTCTCTCCTCTTCTCTGTCTTCCTCATTCCTTTTTTTTCTTCTTTTTTCTCCATTTTCTTAAGGTCTTATCTTTCTTTTCACGTCTTCCTTTACTTTCTCTCTTTCATTCTTTTTCCTTCTCTCCAGCTCTCTCATTCCACGTTCTCTCTTTCTCTCTTTCCGCTGTTTGCTTCTTTCTCTTTTTCTTCTCTTTCGTTCTCCTCTTTCCCATTTCTTAACACTCTTCTTTTCTCCTCTCCCTACATCCTCTTCCTTCTCTCTCTCACATTCTTCTTCTCGCTATCTCTTTCTTTTTGCTTTTCTCTCTCTGTTTTACACGTAGATAACACAGAGATAGGAAAATAAACATTTTAATATTTCCCCAACCGTATGTAATATCGACGAAATATAACAAAATACTTTATCAATGTAAATGCGTTCTCCTGCCAAACATTGATTTCATTAAAATCTTATAAAATTATTTACAGCTATGTTCGTTATTATTTAAATTTTTTTTTTTACTTGTATATGTTTTCATAATCTAATTTCATTATTTGTTTATTGGCTTATCCAATGAAAAGTAAAACGTTACTGCGTCAAGTAAGTACAGAAATAGTTAACATGAAACACCTACCCTGGTATCTTTTGACTTTGTAATCAAGGTTAAAATTTGACACTTCTTTTATTGAAAGATGCGCGGCTTATCTAATAAAGACATCACTTTCTTTTAATCAATCTGAAATCGGTTCGATCTAACTTATGGGCCTCAATGTTAACACTTTTAAATGGTAATCACTGATTTCATCTGGAGCACACAAAAAAAGTTTCATTCGTAGTTTCAAATTATTTAAACGTCTATTTTTCTGTTTTTTTTTTGTTTGATAAACTGTAGATACTCTTTGATAGAAATGGTAAGAATTTATATATCTATATATTATATTTTGATGTTTATTTAAAAATACATTTTCATTTCTTTATGCAGCATGTAAATAAGCCAATGTTTACCATGCTTGTCTCGATAATCACTTACGATTGAGTAGTGAGTTCGATTTCCACTAGGCGTTCCATACTTTCGGCCTTGTGTCACAACTAAACTTCACTTAGTAAATCACTATATTTAGAAATACAGTTTCATTTCTTTATACGGCATATTAAGATGTTAGACGATGTAGTGATGAGAAAGTTTATCTTGCTACATCACTTACGACTGAGTAGTAAGTTCGGTCCCCACTGGGTGCTCCATACTTTAGACCTTGCGCCAAATCTAAGCTACGTTCAGAAAATAACTATAAATCTGCCAAGCCGTCTGGAACAGTTAATAAGCAATCTAGTCAAGGGGTCCAGTAACTACTTAGTGTGTTCGATCCTCACTGGGTCACCCTCAAGTATGAGCTTATCCTATACTAAGACAACATTATTAACATGTATATATTATTTACTAAACGTAATCTAGTTTGGCACAAGGAGGGGACATGTATGCATTGAACTTACGATACTAACGAAATAACAAGCTTGTTTTATAGAACAGTTAGTTAGAGTAGTTAATTCGATCATCACAGGTACTCAACAACTGTGATCTTATGCCATACAAGGCCAAGCTTAATGAACATCAGTAGCAACGGGCGCCTAGCTGTTGTTTAATAGTTAGCAAGCTCATCCCGTAGAAATTTACGATTATAATGAGCTCGATCCTCATTGAGTGCTCCACACTTGTGGCCTTGTGTCTTACTAGACTCGGTTAGCGCGATAAAATGTAAGCAGGGATTTATTCAAATTCCAGCTGAAATAGTCTGTATTCACATCACACTAATGCTTTTCGGAAAAGGCATGAAACTACCTCTTCTTCTTACTCCCTAGCTATGGGTTAAATAAGCTGGGCTCTTTGGACGTCTCCATGCCTGTGACCTTGTGCCAAACTTAGCTAAGAAAATAACATGCTAGTCTTAGTTGGCAGTATCGGAGAATGAAAATTCTGAATTTAAAACCATAAAGAAGACAACAAAAATGCGCTCCACAACTTTTCGCAAGAAAATTTACAAATTAATATTAAAAAGGAAAAGGAAGCTGAGGAGGGCCATGTTCACCTATATCCTGAAGAGGCATGTCACTTAAAGAGGCGGAGTATCATTGCTAACTATTTATTTATTTATTTGCTTCTCCTCCTTCAGGGAAAACCCCCGCATTTAACGAAGTGCCGCTACATCGTGCGTGGGAGGAGGCGTAACTAACCCATTTTATGCTTATCATGGGGCGTGCGTTGTTTTCTTTGCTGTGTCACGAGTCACATTTTTTGTTGTACTGCTACTATCAGACATTTGCAGTAATGGCCGTAGTCGTTCATAGTGAGTCTTACCTGTTTAATTTATACTTACTTTTTCGTAGACATATTCAAAGACATTTCGAACAAAGGTAAAAGGAGAGGAAGAAAACATCATATGATTCCATGTCATATCAAGATACGGTTTAAAAACGCGTTTTACACTATTAAAGACAATAAAAAGAAAATGGATACCTTAATATTTATTTTTGTTATAATGTCATCTTTTGTCACCTGTTGTGTGTTTAGATGGTTTGACAGAATCTCAAGGACGTATGAAATTCACCCCTAACTCATTAATGGTAGAAAACTATAAAATTGGATTTTTATTTTAATTTTACTTTTTTTGAACGCCATGTCTCTTTAGTACATAGACGGTCAGATCTCTCCACAGATTCCTTTTCTTTGTTGTCTGTGTATCACTATGCCTTCTCAAGAAAGATAGTGAGGTGATTTCCCTCTGCCTTCACGGCTTGCTATTAAGAGTTTTCTTTTTCCTTAGACTGGTTGACACCCAAGGCTAAGAGAGCCCGTTCTGCCTTCCTATTTAACTGATAGCTGGGAAATATGAATGAGAAGAAATAGATTCCTACATTTCCTAAAGGCATTTGTGCAAAAGTGAATGCAACAGGCTTCGCTGAAATTTGAACTTCACTTGCTGATCCCATTTTCTGCGCTGATAACAGTTACGCTACCCGCACATCCTAATTTTTGGCACCTTTCAGCTAATCCCTCGCTATAAAGAACCTTTTCATTTTTCCGTTCAATCATTTTTGCATTTCTAACGTTAATATTGAATACTTGTGCTTGATATTATGCCTTGGTGTCTCGGACCAAGCCAGTCCAAGTACAATGTCTTTAGCGATTAAACATTTCATTGTCTTTCCTATGACGATAAACTACATCCGCGTCCTGGGTAAGACGATGAACTACATCCAACAGCAAGACCTCTGGTCAGGAGGTTTTGAGGAGCGTGGAACCACCTCTTAATTGCTGGTGTTCTCAAATCCATCCCTGACCCGGGGTGGTAGCACCTGTTAGGGTCCTAGCTATGGACAAATAGTTAACCCCTAAAACTTGCTGGGGGTCAAAACACTATGAAAATGTAAAAATAGATTATAATACTAGCAATACATTTTTGTAAAAAATTATTACCTGCAATACATTATCACCAGTAATACATTTTTGGAAAAATATTTCGAGAAATACTTTTGGGAAAAATATTACCAGCAATAAAAAAACTTGTCGGCATGAAAGGTGTTGATATGTCGTAATCCAACCTGCCACCCATTACAATGTATGATGCTCTTGAAAGCACCGCTTTGCGACTATTCGGTCTCACATTGACCGCTGACCAGAGATGGAACAAATACATTGAGTCAGTAGCTTCTTCCACCGCAAGGAAAGTTGGTTCCCTGTGCCGCACAAGGAAATTTTTCTCGCCGGAGTCGATCCTTCAAATCTACAAATCAACCATTCGCCTTTGCATGGAGTATTGCTGCCAGATATGGTCTGGAGCCCCTTCTGTTTGTCTCAAGGTTCTGGATAAAATCCAGAGAGGGATATGCAATGTAGTTGGCCCTGATCTGGCATCTCATCTGCAGTCGCTCTCTCACAGACGTGCCGTCGCCTCCCTCAGTATTTTTTTACAAATACTTTCATGGTAACTGCTCCGATGAGCTGTTTTCGCTGGTTCCCAGACTTCATGAATTTAAGCGCTCAACTAGGCTGGCATCTCGCTCTCACCCTTTCACTGTCGAAACTATTAAATGTAGCCGTCTCTTCTACTTCAATAGCTTCATATTTCGCACCTCTCGCCTGTGGAACTCCCTCCCCTTTTCCTGTTTCCCTGATAGCTATAATCTCCAACTATTAAAATGTAATATTAATCGACGTCTCCAGATGCCCTTATCTATCCCCTATCCTTCTCTTCATCCTCTCTCACCCCTATTTGCTCTCGCTCCAACTCTCTATAACCCCTTGCGTGCTAGTGGCTTCCCGCCTTGCTTGGGGTGAAACGCTTAAAAAAAAGAAAAAAATTTCATTGTTGTTGTTTTTGTTTTCTTTTTTGTTGAAATGATCCCATTGAAGCTCAAACTGAACAATTGCCCAATGACAGATCTGTATTCTGCCCAACATAAAATTAGCAATTAGATGCTATAATTCGAAGTATTTTTTATCATTTCACCCCAAGCAAGGCAATAATGCCACTCGGACGTAAGGGCTTATAGCGAGTTTAAGAGAATGAGAAGACTTTAGTGGGAGGAAGTGAGAAAAAAGACAATACAGGAATAGAGTAAAAGAAGATGACGATTGACGTTGCATATAGATTTTTGAAGATTGTAGTTGACAGGGAAGCAAGAAATTGGAAGGGGATTCCACAGGTGGAAATGCGAGGAAAGAAACAATTAGAACAAAACAGACAGTTACATCTAGCTAATTCAATAGTAAAACGATGAGACCTAGTTGCCAATCAAGTAGCAAGCTTAAATTCATGCAGTCGAGACACCAAGGAGGAAAGCAATATTTATTTTGAAAAATAGAAAAATGTAGCACAATCCCTA